CTTGAAAAGTACTCCCTCCGTTCCAAAATAGATGACTCAACTTTGTACTAACTTTAGTATAAAATTGAGTCATCTATTTTAGAACGGAGGGAGTACCTGTAAAAAGAATAGAGGGGGAAATCACTTCCACTTTTATTTTTCTAGGATCTCTTTATTCAGTGGCCATTTATCATGTGGAATGTAGTTAAGCCAAAACAAATCTCCCAGTCCCATTTCCCGACACCCTACATGGAAGGTGATTACCCTCAGCCCTTTGTTCAAGCCAAGTCACATTGTATCGAGATAACTTGGATTACAGGAGTATCAGTTTTACACACAGAAAAGCAAAAGAATGAGCTCTCGGCAAGGCTACAACCCTCATTTAAGTTTTCCAAGACAAAAGCTCGATACATGACTTATTTAGTGGTCTTTGGCCATTGTCACAGTGACACACAGCCGCAGCCACAGCCACACTATTCTGACCTATATAGCCTACAGGTTGGCTAAATGCAAAACATGTAACGGATTAACTGCCTTCACAACTCTCCTTTTGTTCTCTAGTTATTTGGACAAACAGTGGGATTCTTTAGGCATGACAAGATGATTTAGAATATATTTGGACTTGCAATGGGTGTCTAATAGCTTGATTCTCGTCATGCTTTTGCTCAGTACATATTTTTGCTAGGGCACATTTATACTTCTCAGGACTTGTGATTGCTGTCTTGTTTATTTATACAATATTCAACACAAGTTCACTGTTTTCTGTTCTTTTCAGATCATGAAAAACTGTTGCAAGCTGATTATAGCTCCATAGTCGGTTATGTTGTGATTGTGCCATCACTTTTTTAGAATAGTAATGTTTATCATTCTTTAGTGTGTTACTAGGGGTCTAATAGAGACTAAATGGGCTTTGTCACCTGCTATTTTGCAGGGTTTTAAGACTGGTGTCATAGATGAGAGCCATTGCCACTACATGGTAGTTTTCCAATATGGGTCCATCGTGCTGTTCAATGTTTCTGACCATGAAGCAGATGGATACCTAAAAATTGTCGAGAGGCATGCTTCAGGATTACTGCCAGAGATGAGAAAAGATGGTAAACTCATTCTCAATATAAGAAAAGAGTACTTATCTGATTTGATACAGTATACTTCCTGAGTCTTTATCTGGTAACTGTTAATGTGAAAAGGTGATACAATATTAACAGGCGCGCGTAGAAACACAGTCTAAGCTCTAAATAGTCCCCACTAAGCAACAACAGGCAAGAAAATTTTGGCAATTGTAAGTTGCCTTCGTAGAGACGACCACTAGCTATTTCTGTAATACTCAATCTTTGTTTTCTTTTTTCACATGCAGACTGTACTCTTATAATGACTATGGCATTTACTCTTAGTCGAAACTGCTAATGCAATTGTACAAATCTTGTCCTACTTTGTGATATCTATCCAGCCTTTAACCTTGTAATTTACAGCTTGTATAAAATGGTCTCACAGTTTGTTGGATGTTCATTGCTGATTAATGGTGAGGTTTGCCCTTTCATTTCATCTTTTGCAAGAGCAAATAGCCTATACTGTACGAGCCGCATTCCAAAAAACTACATAAATCCAGCTGCATGTTATGTATGTATCATTGTGATTACTGTTGTAGTAATCTAATCGTTATTATTTTCTGAGGATTCAACCTTGAAACCTTAAACTGTAGATTACGCCGTTGTTGAGAGGCCTGCCATGGAGAAGTGGATGGAGGGTGGACTTGATTTTATTATACTGAAGGACCTGAGTATTGATGGTATTCGGACAATTGGAAGTGTCCTTGGTCAGAGTATTGCTCTTGACTATTATATCCGGCAAGTATGTACTCGTTATTTTCATATATATGGTTATGAAACTTTGAAATGTCTATTTAAAAATCTTCACTGATAGGTGGATGGAATGGTTGCTGAGTTCACGGATATAAACCGTGGAATGGAAAAAACTGGTACCTTCACTATGGAGAGGAAAAAGCTTTTCCAGTTGGTTGGAAAGGCTAACTCTAACTTGGCAGATGTCATTCTTAAGCTTGGACTTTTTGAGAGGTAAGAATAGCATCATACTGAGAGCTAAGCATGTAAACTCAGTATGATGCGACTGTTAGATTATATGCCAAAATGTGTGGTTTCCGTTCCTGAATTTGTGTTAGGATGTGACTGTTAGACTAATCTTTTATATACTGCATTTTTTGTTTAAAGGGTAAATAGTTTTCCAAGCTCTGGAATGTAAATAAGCTAGATAATTTTCCTTCTATTTCCCATCTTAAATATAGCTCCGTCCCAAATTACTTGCATGTGTTTTGGCCACCTCACATTCGTTGTCTTGTCATCTACTAGTCAGTCGTGTCCACAATATCTTTTGCTTTATGCGATCATATCTGAGACAAGTATTTTGCTTTTGTTTCTAGTTTATAAGTTATGTGTAATGCTGAGAGATGTCAAAAAGCTGATGTATTACGATCGGACTTGCATTGTTGCATAATCATTGACAAATACGTATAAGTCTCATAGTACAGTCCAAATCAGGCTGCATTTTTTTGTTGTTGTTAAAAAAGCTCGTTTGCCAGAAAGCCAGAAAATCATGGGAAATAGTATTTGTTGGCTACTGGGAAATAGGTGTATCTTTTTTGGTGTTTTTGTGTGTGGCTTATAATCACTTTAGATCCCATCAATGAACGTATAATGAGACATCATGGTAATTCAAATATTTTATATATCCATTAGTCTTATTTCTCTGCAAGTGCAGGTGTGCTGATTTTTTTTCTTGTATAACAAAAAATATGTTTTGCTGTTTATGCAAATATGCATAGTAAAAAAAAATCTGAAAATTGTAAAGGTGAGAACATGTGTTGCACTTGTAATTTCTGAATGTTTATAAAATTGTGAAAAGCTGAACAGGTGCTGGCCTTGTAATTATGAACTTCAAGGGCTTGCACCTTTTCACCCCCCACCCCCACCCCAGTTAAATAAAACTATTCGATGTCGCTAAAATGAACTCTACAGTTGTGTATCTGCACGCATTTACCTGCTTGTTGCATAGTCATTGTCAAATTTAAATCATATTATATTACAGTCCAAGTGCTACATGAATTAATGTCTGATATTACCTTTTTGGTAAACAAATGCCGTTTGGAATGCCAGAATCATGGCAGAAATTGTATTTATTTCCTGAATGGAAATAGGTGTGTTTTTAGCGTTTTAGTGATCTAAACGCTCTTATATTAGTTCACAAAGGGAGTACTTAGTGGTTATCAGCTCAGTTTTATGCCAGCGTTGCATTTTCTCAATTGGTTTGACTTTGTGGCATTCTTCATTTCAACTGTTTAAGTATGTAGACAAAGTCCATATCATAAAAAGTTGAGAAATTCTATACACTATGTTGGTCTTATCTCTCTGCAAGTACAGTTGTGTTGAGATCCCCTCTTTTTTTTTCTTGAACACCAAAAATGGTGTGTTTGCTCTATATGCAAATCTGCGCATTGAAAGTCAAAATTGTGGAAAGCTGAAGGGCTTTCCCCCTTCCAGCTCAGAATACCCTTGTATATTTGCGGGGTGCACGCTTACTTACATAACTTTGTCTGCTCCACCAGGTCAGACATTGCTTGGAAGAACGCAAACTATGCGCAGATCTGGGAGTTCCTCCGGGACGAGTACGAGCTAACCCAAAGATTCGGAAACCTTGACTTCAAGCTGAAATTTGTTGAGGTAACGGGCCAGCGCATGGGTTTCGTGTTGGCTTATCTGAAGATCTCTGACAGTTTTTTGTTTTGGCTGCAGCACAACATCCGGTTCCTCCAGGAGATCCTCCAGAACAGGAAGTCGGACTTCCTGGAGTGGCTCATCATCATCCTCATCAGCGTGGAGATCTTGATATCTGTGTATAACATTGTCCAGGAGCAGATGTAGAGCGAAGGCGAGAGAACCAATACGTTGTTGGTGAGAGTGAGCCAGAATGCGAGACCATCGTCAGAGCCACGAACGAACCACACTGTTTTTGTCCGCGAGTTTTTTCGTTCCATTTCTCCCAACCGGTAGAAGCCCCTGTAAAGAATTCTTGATTCGGACCATGACATGATCACGTAGCTTTAGCGCACTTGTTTTGTTCAGAGGTCGTGTTGCCGCTGTTGTCTAGCGGGAGTGTGAAACGCGGATGAGCGAGTGAGTGTGGCCGAGGTAGTAACTGGGGGGCGCGTGACGAGCACGCGATGGCGATGGGTCCTGTTCGCCTTCGTGGTTGAAGCTTGAAAGGTAGGCGTGTGATTGAGTGGGTGATGTTGGCTTGACGGGGCGCGTGCAGGGCATAAGCCACGTTCACATTCTGACAACCACCGGAACTATTTTTTGGGATCGGAATGAGCTTGGAACTATACCATGGATCTAATCTGCCGGGGAATCGTTTGTGTTTTTTTTTTGCGGGGAATAGTTGATTATACTAATATACACTAACATTATATTAGCACTAGTAAATCATATCCATTAGCCATTTGCTCCCTTGATTAATCCGGCCGGACGGCGAGTGGGGGCAGCCAGATGCATGCCGTGCCTCGCCGGCCTGTCGTTGGCTCGTCGTCGTCCACTCCCTCCTCCCCGCCTCCCCCTATCAAAAATAGCGAAGCGCTCTGACTGGACTCACCGACCGACGTGGCCGGCCCAATCCTGGCCCACCACTTGGCGCCCCTCCCCGGCGGAATCTCCCGTGTTCACACCGCCAAATTACCCAAACGCCCTCCTGCCCGGCGGCCACACGAGGGCAGAACCGTCACCCACAGTCCCCAAGCACGCCCGTGCGACCCGTCCGCCCCTCGTGGCCGCACGATCCCCAGATCCAGCGGCCCCGGTCGCCCTACCAGAAGCTTCCGGCCCGGTGTATATAAGCGCGAGAGGGCCAGTGGCCTCCGTCGTCTTCACCCCCGCTCCTCCTCCCCCCCACACACCCACACGCGCACGCGTTTGACATTTTCCGCCCACCACCGCCGGAGGGAGGGAGCTCCAGCCATGGCCGCCAAGTGCTACCCGACGGTCAGCGACGAGTACCTCGCGGCCGTCGCCAAGGCCAGGCGCAAGCTCCGCGGCCTCATCGCCGAGAAGAACTGCGCGCCCCTCATGCTCCGCCTCGCGTAAGGACGCCCCGCGATCCGCCCGATCCCCTCCCCTCCCCTCCCTCGTCTCGCGCCGATCTGATCTGATCCGTCGTCTCGCAGGTGGCACTCGGCCGGGACCTTCGACGTGGCCACCAAGACCGGCGGCCCCTTCGGCACCATGAAGTGCCCCGCGGAGCTCGCGCACGGCGCCAACGCCGGCCTCGACATCGCCGTCAGGCTGCTCGAGCCCATCAAGGAGCAGTTCCCCATCCTCTCCTACGCCGACTTCTACCAGGTGACGCACCCTTCCCCTCCCCGATCCGATCTCGCCCGCCCAGATCGCCGTGCTCCCGAATCTATTTGATCTGATTTTGCCGTTTCTGCGGTGGTGCAGCTCGCTGGAGTCGTCGCCGTCGAGGTCACCGGCGGGCCTGAGGTTCCCTTCCACCCGGGGAGACAGGTGAGAACCATTTCTGCTCTCCCCCAACCGGCCATAAGATTTATCCAGGGTTTAACCCTGTTTTGTTTAGTTTACCTGCGCTTATTGAAATGATGCTCCATTTCTGTACCTTATCCTCGTGCGGGTTGGTGGACCTGTCAACGTGTATTATTGACTTCAGTGACGACAGATGCGGTATTGTTTAGTTGGGTGGTTGCAATAGTTGATCCAGAGAAAATTGTTTATAGAATGGCGATTTGGTGATATATCGGGCTTGTTTATTGCTGTGATGGATACATTTTTGTTCCATTCAATGGTTGATTCTGATTTTCTATAGCCATAACTATGAAAATGAAATGACATGGTATTCCATAAAAATTTTAGTCCATGTGTTGGTGTGCTAATGAGAGTTCAGGGGAAACGTTGTCTTGGTCCAGTAGTGATGATTGAATCTGATGTGTGGGGTTGCTGCATTGGTGTGACCATGGTAGATTAAGAGGGTTATGAAGCTAATTAATCTAATACTAGGTTCTACCGTTTTATTTTAGCCTTCTGGTTCTACTCAATTTTTGGATGTTAGCTCAAATAAACACCTTGCCTGTACTCAATTAAGGTTACTGATTACCAAACTTTAACAACTGTTGTTATCCAATGTTCTGAAGAGCATGTGTTGGTATGATTTTGTATGATATGCACAACTACACGTCCTAGCAGACAGCAGCTACGTACCTATGTATACATTTTCCCACAGAGGTCTCAAGCTTTAGGTAAATGTCGGTAGATAATATTAGACTGGGAGATAGTCTGTGTCACATTTGCTGATGATTACATTCCATGCATATTGTTTCTTAGGCAACATTGTATGCTTATGTCTAGAATCTAGATGCTTTGCACAGTTATCCACTTATAAAACAACATTGAACAAATGAGATTGTCGAACTTGCCCACTTGATCTTTATTACTACCTCCGTTTCGGTGAATAAGTCATTCGCGTAGTTCTAGGTTGACGATTTAACTATTCAAATATATATTATATGTGACAAAAAATATATATTTAGAAACTACATCCTTGTAGAAATCTAGTGATATACTTTTCATGACATAGAACACATATTTAATTCCTCAAATCGATGACCTAGAACTACGCGAATGACTTATTCACCTAGACGGAGGTAGTATTTAACAGGGTATCTTCATATCCTTGGTTGAACTATGTGTTCCTTGTTTACTTTTCTATCTATATGGGATAACTGCTGATTGGGAATAATATTTAACAGGGTATCTACATGAATGTTTATACTTCCTATACTATTAGTGTGTGGTTTAGTTAGAGCATCCATGTCCTTGTATTCTTATAGTGCTGTCTAAAATCTGTGTGCATGGAACTAACTGACAAACTGTGGTTTCCTTTACCTGTATTTGTGTGTATTGCACACTGTTTGTTGTGGATGCTTATAACGGGTTGACTTTTTTGTTGCAGGACAAGCCCGAGCCTCCTCCAGAAGGCCGTCTTCCTGATGCCACCCAAGGTACTATAGTGCAACATCTTCTGTATCAACACAACTACAGAACTTCTATACTGATAAACATTGCTGATTGTGTTGCTATTTTTGGCACCAGTTATGTGATAGAATGCCCATAGAATGTGTTGGCATATCATCATTTAGGCATTTAGCTATTCATAGTGGTATCAAGTGACAGTTATTAACCATGTTGTAGTGGGCATAGTTTCATGAGAAAACACAATTAACTTTGATTAATAATTATTACTCCCTCCGTTCCTAAATATAAGTCTTTGGAGAGATTCCACTATGAACCACATACGGATGTATGTAGATGCATTTTAGAATGTAGATTCATCCATTTGCTTTGTATGTAGTCCATAGTGAAATCTCTACAAAGACTTATATTTAGGAACGGAGGGAGTAGATTTTTCTATATTACAAACTGAATTCCATAACTTGCACGCTTCTCAAAGATTGGATATGTCCCAGCCTATGCAATGCACCTTCTCAATGCTGGACCATGCCCTTATTTGCTCACCTTCTACAGTCAGTGTTAAACGGAGCATGCTTGACTATATTTTATCCTGTTAATTTTATGGTGGGTGCATTGGTGGATTTAATTTTACCTGGCTGACATGGTGAACTTACTGTTGTATCAGGCTCTGACCACCTCAGGCAGGTGTTTTCCACTCAGATGGGTTTGAGTGACCAGGACATTGTTGCTCTTTCTGGTGGTCACACCCTGGTTAGTCCAACTGCTTAATTATCCGTTTTGAGTGACCATGCTTGTTTATAGGCTTGATTGAAAGGTTGTGCTTAGACAGCTTTAATTGTCTGATGCAGGGAAGATGCCACAAGGAGAGATCCGGCTTTGAGGGAGCATGGACCGCCAATCCTTTGATCTTCGACAACTCTTACTTCACGTATGTGATATATTGATATATGCTTTATGAGAGCGTCTGCAAAAGAGCCATATTTTTATGTTTTATTTATTTTGGCTGCTCATGCTGTTCCTTGTTTTCTCAAACCAAAATTTCCATCTCCTGACAGTGAGCTCCTGAGTGGAGAGAAGGAAGGCCTTCTTCAGTTGCCGACCGACAAGACCCTCCTGACCGACCCGGCCTTCCGCCCACTTGTGGACAAATATGCTGCGGTACCCCTCTGATCCTTAGTAGCCTATTGGTTTCTTAGAGAGTTCATCTTTGGCTACCATACCCTAGCAATGTAGTGTGAGATCTGAGCCGCTGGATGTCGATTGGTTTTGCAGGATGAGGATGCGTTCTTTGCTGACTACGCTGAGGCACACCTCAAGCTCTCCGAATTGGGGTAAGTGATGCGAGTATCATCGGTGCCCTTGATATGCACTATTGCAATGATGACTTTGCTTGTGCAAACATCCTCGGAGAGTAAATCCATGTGTGTCGAATGTTTTTCAGATTTGGCGAGGCGGGCTGCTGCTGATTCAAGCTCAGCGCCTGAAGGTCGGTGGTAATGAAGAAGAAGAAGATCATGAAGAAGAAGAAGAGCAATAAGGATGTGTTGGCCTGCTGCGGCCATGTCATGTGTTAATTTGTCTGGACTTGGATTAGATGGGTCGGTCGATGGGGTGTTGCATTGTTTTGCTTTGGACGCCTCGTGTCTTGTGATGGGCGTGCTTGTAGTATGAACTGCTAAGTGTTATGTAGTTCCTTTCCGGTTGAATTGGTATTCCCTGTCGAGGACGAAATGAAAATTTGGTTGCCCTCATTTGGCCGTGGAGCTTATCTCAGTGTTTATTTTACCAGCTTGTCGTGGCTAGTTCTGTGTTTATTCTTTTGATCTCCACGCAAGATCAAAAGAATATAGCATCGATCGAGGCATAAGCAAGTTTAGTCCACCGAGACTCAGCAAAACTGATGCATTATGTGTCATCGTTTGCTGTTTGCATTTGATGCGAAAAACTCTGTTTCGGCCGTGCAAGGCAATAGCCGGTAGTAGTGCATACGTACCCTCTACTCCAGCTAATATACTCATAACTCGCAAATATCTTTTGTTGATCTTGCATTCATACGGAGCTGCAAAAAATGGAATTAATGATTGCCGAATCACCAAACACCAACCAATGGGAAGGGCCGGAAAACCAACGAGGGCGGGCGGGCGGGCAGGTGGGCTCTCCCTCCCTCCACTCCGGCCCCCTCGTTTATAAGTTTAACAAGCCTCCGCCCGCCGTCACCAACCTCCGCAAGTCGGTCCACCAATCCACCACCACCATACCACCATGGCCGCCGCCTCCTCCTCGCTCCGGATCCCCGCACCAACCCACCACCCCGCCGCGGGGGCGCGTCCGCGGCGGCTGCCCTTCCACGCCGTCTCCGTCCGCCCCCGCCGCTCCGCACTCTCCGCCTCCTCCCCGCAGCAGGGCGACGGCGACGACGCCGACGGGCCCACCGGCGTGCCCGTGCCCTTCCCCCGCGACTCCGCCATCGCGCTGCCTCGTATGGCCGGGATGGTTGTTTGTCTTCGTTGCTCGCTGCGCTTCTGTATGTATGTATGCATATAAGCGTGCTTGTTTCTGAATGCAGGGCCGCTGACGAGCGCGGATCTGATGGGGGAGGCCAGCAGGGAGGGCCTCAGGGTCGCGTACCAGGTCCGTTTTCCCTCCTCTATTCTTCTTCTTCTGAGAAAACACTGACGGCGATGAATGATTCTGACGACGAGCGATGCAACGCCACTCTGACCGACCAATCTCAGGGCTGCCCGGGCGCCTACAGCGAGGCCGCCGCCAAGAAGGCCTACCCGAGCTGCGAGACCGTGCCCTGCGAGTACTTCGAGACCGCCTTCCAGGTACCATCCCTCAACCGTCCATCAATCCACTGCCCCCTGATCCTCTCCAATCCATGCGACAGTTCCGGGACATGTGTTGTACTACTAGTATATTGCAGTGCTGAAACCATCACAGTATGCACCGGTTGATATCTTGTAGTAGTAATCCTAAATTAGCACCGATTATTACCATAGGAACCAGCAACAGGTTTTGTGCACAGTTTCAGCGAGCCGGTTTTTGGATTTGAACGCCCCTAGCTGATCCTGCCAGGCATCGACCGTCAGATAGTGATAGTGATGATCTTGTCCGTCTAACAGGCCGTTGAGAAGTGGGCGGCTGACCGTGCGGTGTTGCCGCTGGAGAATTCCTTGGGCGGCAGCATACATCGCAACTATGACCTCCTGCTCCGCCACCGGCTGCACATTGTGGGCGAGGTGCGGCTGGCGGTTCGTCATTGCCTGCTCGCCAACCGTGGCGTCAAGATTGAGAACCTGCGGAGTGCCATGAGCCATCCTCAGGTGAGCTGGACTGTTTTATCAATTCATCCCCAGCCCTGTTTGACTCACCTGTTTAAATGTTGTAATTGTTTTTTAGGCTCTTGCGCAGTGTGAGCAAACACTGACGCAGCTAGGAATTGAACATAGAGAAGCTGTTGATGATACAGCGGGTGCGGCCAAGGTAGGATGCTGTTTGATGGCATTATTTGGTTCACGAAATTGCTCTTCACTTCTTTGTCTTTGTTAGCAGGAGTTTCGAACATCAAGTTAAGTCTGTTGTCACTAATCTGAGTAATATGCACCTTTTAGCAAATTGCAGAAGAAAATCTCCAAGACACCGCTGCCGTTGCCAGTTCATTGGCTGCTCAACTCTATGGACTGGATATTCTTGCAGAAAATATCCAGGTATAACTGGTTCATTCTAAACCTGTAAGAGACCATCTTTTGTTTTTATTCATGAGAACAATGGCTCACCTCTTCATATAGGATGACGCAGATAATGTAACCCGTTTCATGATGCTGGCTCGGGAACCCATTATTCCTCGTACTGATAAGCCATTCAAGGTATGTGTTGCACGATTTCTTCCTGCAATTTCTTTGTTCCCCCTTTCCTGGTAAATGCTAATGAAATGTTGCTCTACAAATTGTATGGTCTCCAGACTAGCATAGTGTTCTCTTTGGAAGAAGGACCTGGACAACTCTTCAAGGCGCTTGCAGTATTTGCTCTGAGGAAAATTAACCTCACCAAGGTATTGTCTCTTCATCAACATCATGTTCTTAGTATTTCGTCAACACCTATGCGGGTTTGAAGCAGAACTGATCGGTGATGCGTCCTTTTTTGTATGGTCTGCAGATGGAAAGCCGTCCACACAAGAAAAGGCCTCTGCGTGTAGCTGATGATAACTCCACGCCGCTGAAGTAAGAACAAGTTTATTCATTTGAGTTTCATTTAACAGTGCACAGTTTGAGCTGCATGGAAACTGTATTGTATATATGATAATGTTTCTCAAAATGTTGTGCCAGGCACTTCGACTACCTTTTCTATGTAGATTTCGAGGCTTCAATGGCTGATCCAAATGCACAAAATGCTCTGAGTAACTTGAAGGTGTGGTTTCATTGGTCGGTATGGTCTGGTGGTTAAGTGAGCGAGCGGTGTCTTATTTTGTGTCTGTTTTTGTTTTTGCAGCAAGAGTTCGCCACCTTCCTAAGAGTTCTTGGGAGCTATCCTACCGATGTCACCGAAGCATGAGTGCCGGGCACCTGAGCAAACACAAATCCTCCCTTGATAGTCGGTATTTGGCTCTGGAATAGAAGCAATTTTTTCACCTGGCAGTTTTGAACTCCACGATTCAGTAAATCTTCCTGGGGGGCTTCTCTGTTCTTTCCACAGGGACAGTAGTTCTCCAGATATTCTTTATTTTCCTGTGAATGTGAGAGAGAACTCTCGACATATACATCTCTTTTGCCCGAGAGCTCGCGAAATGATGGGCTTTTATTATTATAGGAGTGCTTGTTGGAGAAGTGTTGGTCGGCTTGTGTGTCTTGAATAGTGATGGTGATAGTTTAAAGTCTCAAGCATCAAGTGTGATGTTTATGTTTGAGGTTGCTGTAATGCGTGTGTTATTTGCAAAGTTGATTGGTGGGCGGGTTAGCTAACATGTGTGGCCCGGAGTGGGTTGTTGGCGCCGTGTACGCCTGGTGATGCCATCAGATTGGCCTTATTACTATTGTCATGGTAGCAGTCAGAAAATTGTGAGAAGCTAGTACTTCAAAACATAGATTGGCACAAGACGTACCTTCCATCTTGTAAAATTCCACCTATAAATTCTATTCAGACTGAGAAAGGAACAAAAAAGAGATAATCCAGCTATGGATTCAAATTCTTCTGTGATTTTAATTTCAACTATTCACGGATGAATTTTTCTTCTTCTGTTTCATGTTACAATTTCAACTCTTTTTTTGTGAAATCATGATTTCAACTAATGATCATGTAATATTCTGTCTTAATAGTGACAATGATAGTTTGAGCTCAAGCATTTGTGTGATGTTATGATTGAGGCTGCAATAACGTGTGTATTCTTTGCATCATTGGTTGGTGGGGCTGGGTTGGCTAACATGTGGTATGCGTGTATAGACAATGTGCATTACTCGTCTCTGCGCACACAAATTCTTGACTGCTCGATCAGCATGATCACACTCTCTCCGTTGTAGTAATATGCATATGTAGTGCTGGGAAATTTCTGTTCCCCGCATAGGTTGATAGATATCGACGGAAGTCGCACCCATAAGAGTAGCTACGCATATTTGGCCCGGCCCAACTAGAAACTTAACAGACCATTTTTTTTGTAACATCAGAATATTTTTGAAATCCATGATCTTTCTAAAAAATCGGCACATTTTTAAATATTATTGAATTCATGAACATTTTGTTTAAATTACATGGCAGTTTTTTTTAATTTTCATCTTTTGTAGCCAGATTTAAAAATAAATTGAATGGCGAAAAACTAATCGAAGAGAAAAAAAACATCAGAGAAGCTTGTTGGTAGAGCTCTCTATCCTTATTTGGGTTGGCCCAATTTAGCGCTGCGCGGGGGACGGTGCACGTTTGTCGCCTCCCCCGCCTTACGTGAAATCACTAATTAAGAATTACTACTTGCAAAGTGGCGCACTGCATGTGCGCAATCTGAAAGATTTTCCTTTTTTTTCATAGATTCGTTTATTCAAAATGTTTTATCTCTTAAGCCATACATCTAAATCCCAGACCGTTTTTGCCGTTGGATTTTTCGCGTCAAGATCTTTGAAAATAGACCCCATGTTAATAGGTTTCGATGAACATTTTTTCACACAAAAAAACAAAACAATAAAACAAACCGAACCACGACTCCCCCACCTTTTTTCCCTTTCCGAGGGGCACAATTGTGTCTCTCACGGAGAGGCACAATTGTGCCTCTCGCGGAAGCAAATTGGTGCCTTCACGTGAAGCAAATTTGTAACTCTCGCGGAAGCAAAAAACAAAGAAAACATGTCTTCACCTTTTCGAGTTGTGCCTCTCGTGGAAGCAAACATGTGCCACTCACGAAAGCAAAGGAAACATGTTTTTTCCCATTCTGAGGAGCACAGAAGCCACTCGCGAAAGCAAAGCTGTGCATATCGCAGAAGTATTTTTTTTCGTGTTTTGTTGTGTCTCGCAGAATCAAAAGAACACGTATTTTCTCGCAATTTTTTACATTTTTTTAGAAAACCAAGAAAAAACCTGGCAGAACCCCAAAAGCTGAAAAACCCATCAAAAACCCAAAACTCCGCACAAATTTTTTTATAAAACATCAATATTCTGATGGAGCGCCCAGCATGCGACACATGGTAGGG